CACTGATGCTGCTGAGCTATGTCCCCAACTGTGTCATCTTCTTAACCCCCTTAGTAGCTATAATACTTTCTCAGTTCCTACTATGCCTGCAGCATAACACACCTACTACACTATCTAACATGATATAGTGGGCCCAGCCCATACAGTAGCTTCATTCTGGTGACTTGAAATCAGCCACAATAGAAGCATTTACACTGTGGACAAGGGCAAAAGCTAGGCAGCAGAGCTGCCTCCTCTGACCCTCCTACCACCACTGGGATTACAGGCATGCACCACCACACTCGGTCTCAGGGCCAGCTCAGTGCACCTGGGGGAGGGGCTGATGCAGCAGGTGGTGCCAGGGATTGAACCCTGGTTCCTGTGCTTGCCTCAGCAGGTACTTAATCCGCTGAGCTACCTCGCCAGCCCAAACCAATGCCCTTTAAATGCCCTTTAGATACTCTGGTTTTCCAAAGTCGAATTGTGACGGTGTCAGTGCACAAAAACAATGCTGCACATGAACTCCTGTGTCCTCCTGGTCCTGTGCGGGGAATCACTTCTGAATGGTGTAGGAAAATATCTTGGAGCCTCTGCCGAAAAGCGCGGATGATTTTTCCCTCACTGCTACCTAAGGTTGCTGTCTAGAAGCCATGCACTGGTTTCATCAGCCACTAAAGGAAGTCACTGAATAAAGGGAAGCTGGAAGATATGTGAGAGAACTACGACTGGATTATTTCAAATGATGTGATTCACACACCATACCTCAGTGAACTGGTGAGAAGTTGTGTGGGGCCCTCATTGTCGCTCTCGAACAGGGTCTCTTAAAAAGGGCTGTGTAAAATCATTTAGCATCACTTCACATCACTCAGAGGCTTTACAGAGAGATGTGACACTATTTCATGTCTCACTCCCTGCGTCACCTCTGCAAATGACCCCTTCGTGCCTAAACTATGTGAGGACAGAGGTCGTGCCAACGTGACAGCTGAGTCATTATAGGAACGCTGCACCTACTTCTCAAGAATCTTGTCTTTGGGAGCTCTTCTTGCATTTCAAGGGGAGAAAGATTCAACCTATATTTACTAAGTATTAGGTGTGGTAGTCAGGTTTTTGTTGCTGTAACAAACTCCCTGAGATATCAACTAAGAAAGTGGAAAGTTTGTTTTGCCTCACAGTTTGGAGGGTCTGGTCTGAGTTCTTCTGGCCCATTGCTTTTGTGACTGTGATAAGGCAGTGTGTCATGGTGGGAGGCAGAGGCGGCTGCCACCTCACAGCAGCCTAGAAGCACACAGGAAGAGGAGGGACCAAGGCCCCAGTAGTCCACTGAAGGCTGTGGCTCCAGTGACTAGCATCCTCCCACTAAGCTCAACTTCCTAAAGGTCCGGGAGGTGAGAACCCACCGGTATGGGCTTTTGGGACATTCACAATCTTAGCCACAGTCATGTGTTACAGGGTGAAACAGTGAACAGGACAGACGTTGCTCCTGTCTTCAGGGAGCTTATAGTTGAATGAGGTATAGTTTAAGTATTAAACTATCAGTTTAAATACTGTGTGGCGACAGGAGATGGAATTTTCTGAAACTTTAAGAGAAAACAACATTCATGGGAGCTTAAAGGGTGATTAGCCTTCCCTCTAAAAACTGGCATTTTGATGGCTAATTAGAAAGAATTAATGTGTATATTGGAAGAAATATTACCTAAAGGGTCAGGAAAGCCAGGTTTTGTTCTTTCCTTTATCACTACATTTGGTAGTTCTAGTTCCAACTTTCTCACTTATAAAACAAGAATGATAATATCTGTCCTGCTAACTCATAGTATAATTACAGGGAACACATGAGCTAATGTACACAAAAGCACTGCAGATGGTGTGGAGCTTGCGCGTTCTCATGATGTCACGTGGACTGTAAGTCGCTGCCAGTCACTAGTAACTCAGTCATCGACAGACACCTGCTAAGCACCAGCTCGGCCACAGATCCTGCGCCAGACCTTGTGCTTGGCTGAGTCCCATCTTGTCCCATTGTTCCTTTCAAAGTGGCTTGCTTTATTCAGCGGCAATTTTCATACTACAGTGGGTAGTGAGAAGAAACCTATATCTATTGATCCCCAACTGCAATCTCAAATTTCACTCTACTTGTGTAATCCTCTCAGACAGGTGGATTAAAGTGACCAGGAAGAACATGGGTAAGAAGCTGTTGGCTTAAAAATTTATTTTGTCCGTCGGCCCACGGGTGCTAGCGGTTCGGCTGGAGG